ACAACAATCTACATTTATTCGTGTGCAAAAATCTACATTTATTCAAATACATGTCATCTTCTGGGACATCATCATAACTCTCCAAACCCTGAATTCCAGCCTGGATTTCCTGACTCCATATTCTGTCCTCCACATCTCCACCCTCCATGCCTGCAAAGCCCTGGCCCCTGCAGAGCTCCTGGGCTGGGTTTCTGTACAAGGTCCGAAAGAGGACAGGGGACCCCTCTTCTGGAAAATGGCCAGCATCTCGAGGGCCCAGGAAGTTTGGGGATATCTGTGTGGCCATACAGGGGAGTGGATAGGACCCTAAGGCGCTCGGTAATGATGGAGTGAGTAGTGCAGCCGACTCCTGAGTAGAGCCCCCTACTCCTCAACCACCTCCACACCTCACACCCCTGGCTCAGAGGCTCAGAGGAAGAGATGGGCATGGAAGATTCATATTAGATACAACCACATCTGTTTGCTACTATGCCCACACATTTGTGTGTTGTCTCTGTACTGTGATTGGTCATTTGTCTGTTTACCTAGGTATTTACCTTTCATCCAAAGGCACCTTAGATATTTACAAATACAGTACTTACTTACAATTTATCTTACCATTGAAGTATTAATATCAATGATATTTACATTTATATGTTAATATTATTATTTTATAACTTCATATGTCCATCGTGTGTTGTAACAGATATACTAAATGCATCCATCTTACTGACAATCTTAACTGGGGCTTATTTTGGGGATAGGGCTTATATTACCAGCATCCTGAAGAATCATCGTAGGGCTTATTTTCCAGTTAGGTCTTATTTTCAGGGAAATATGGTATATTGTTCCTGCATCCTGGATTCCCTACCTTGTGCACGGTCACTTTCTATTCATCTGACCTGTCCCAGTTTATTGTGAGTTGCTTAGGCAACCTGTCCCTACAACACTACACCCTGTGTGCCCCAATTCCTTCTATTAGAAGATGAAGTCTTCATGAAATAAAATCTCATAGCACCCTATCCTTCTCTTTCATAGCACTCATCTCAGTTAAAAGGGTTTGTTCATGCCTTTAGTTCCAGCTCCTGGGGAAGCTGAGGTGGGATGCTTGCTTGAGCCCAGGAGTTTGAGGCCAGCCTGACAGTCTGTCTGCTGCCTTTCTTCTATCACTTTTGTTCCTCTAGATGCTTGTTTCTATCTACCTTTCCTGTTGGCCCTCACTCCCTGCTTGGACCTCTCCCAGAAGCCTCTCTTTCAGTTCTCCGTGGCCCTTTGCTCATCTCTTCTGTCTGCCCACATCCTTCTGTCTCTTTCAGTGTGAATCCCTGTGGAGTCCCTGACTTGTTCCACTATCTCAGAACTACACATACCGCCTCCTTAGCTAGTCTCATCTCTCTGTTCCGTCTTTCTTGCTGTTCTTGCTGTTCACTTTGGCTTCATCTTTTTCATCCCTGTTTCTCTGTTCTCAGATTTCCTCCAGCCTTTCTGTCTCAGTATCTATTTTTCAGCCTCTAAGCACCCCCTCAACCCGCACCCTAGGGATGGACTCTGCCTCCTGTGTCCCCGCTGGCTGGCGCAGCCCCTTCTCTGGGACCCTTGGTCTTCTCTCTCAGCTGAACACAGCCCTCATTCTCCGGCTCCTTTCCCTGGTTTGTGGTGCCTGTTCTGAATTCTAAATGGCTCAACTCTCCTGAGCTTGTTTACTCTGACTCTCTTAGCCCCTTAGCAGCTTAGCCCTCCCACCTCTCCTCGAGCCCTCCAGTAAACAAGAGGCTCAGGGTAGATCTGACAGCTGCTGGGTGGGGGCGAGTGTCTGGCCGGGCATGAAAAGGGGACTGCTCTCTACTTCATCTCTTCCTTCAGGGAAGTTTTAGGGTTTCTTTCCTGGGTGTCCACCTTAGAGCTATTGTCCATGGGCGTGTGTATGGGGTTCATGTCTCCATAATCTCCATTCCCATTTTATGGCTGGTTCCCAGGCCTTGAACTTTTTGCCTGCTCTGAGAAAACAGCTCTAGATCCAGGCGATCACACTGAGATACCTTTCTACTTGAATAATAAGAATGGAAGTGCAGGTGTGGGAGGAGAGGGATGTCATCTGATCTAGATCTTCTAATGTGTGGAGAAGGCATGGGCTTGGATCTTTAACATCCCTCAAAGGTTTTCATGTTAAAGATTTAGTCCACAGGTCTGCACTGTTAGGAAGTGTTGGAAACTTTAGGAGCTGGGAGGTCTTGTGGTCATTGGGGACATGCCCATGAAGCGGACAGGGGGATGCCAGCCCTTTTCTCTTCTTTCTGTCTCAGCCCTGAGGTGAACAGCTTTACTCCGCCACACGACCCCTCCCGTGATGTGCTGCGTTGGCACAGGCCCCATGTGACAGGGCCAATGGATCACGGAGTGGAGCCTTGAAAATTGGGAGCTGAACTAAACCTTATCTGAGTTTGTTATCTCAGGTATTTGTTATAGTAATGGAAAGGTGGCTAATACAGCATGGTAGGGAGACCACACACACACACACACACACACACGTGTATTCATACACCAACGGAAGTTGGGTTGAATGTAGGCATCTGTGGACCAGTGGTTCTCAAACTTTAGTGTTTGTCAGAATTGCTGAGAGGGCATGTTAAAATGCAGATTTCCGTATCCCACCTCCAGAATTTCTGATTCAGTGGGTTTAAGGTAAAGTCAGAGAATTTCTGTCTCTAAGTTACCAGGAAATGCCGATGTTGTTGTTCTGAGGACAACATTATGAGAGCCATTGGCTTAAATAATCTGCATATATCAGCTTTTCCCTAACATATAAGGCTTGCAACAGGTTAATTTTTATAGCTGAGGATCCTTGGGACTGAAAGAAACCCAGTCTCTTTCTGAGTTGGGAAAGGGGACCTCTTAACTCAATGAGACTATCTGGGTGTCCTTAGAAGGTAGGGAGAGCCTTTAACCCCTGGAGTTCTGTTCTAGTACAGACCTTATTTAAACAGCTTCGGACAGGTTTAAACGTCTCGTCTCCTCTGCTAATTCCTAGTATCCTCGTTCCAACTCCTGCTGGGGGATGATAGCTCTAAGAGGTGTTAGGGGATTAGACTGAAAATATAGGTCACTCCCCAGCCATCTGGGAACCATACTGAGAGACAAGGAGCAGAGCAGAGACACACATAGGGAAAAGGCAAGAGGAAGCAGAGGGCATGTGAGGGCAATTACAAAAGTATATCTCATGAACTGATTTCAGTATCCTTTGGTGGCCCAGAAGGAAGGAGAAGAGATTCCTGTTCTCTCTTCTCCCAAGCTGGGCTGCCTTTCTGGGGCTGGGTTGTTAGGAGTGGTAGGATTAGATGGCTAAGTCCTGGAGCTTCCCCATGAGGAAAGTTGCCTATCTTTCTGATGTGATGGTTGTGAGGGGCGTAAGGCCAGTCAGGGTGAAGATGGGGTAGCAGCCAAAAATGTGAGGAGCACAGTTACTTGAAAAGAGGAAACCAACCCAACAGGCCTGGTGAGAGTGGGTTAGGAAGAGCTTGTATTTCTCACAGACACTGATGAGAAGTGCTGAGCCTTGTGGGATAGGGGGCTGAGAGCTTGTCTGGCTCTCATTCTTAGTCCCAGGGTTTTAGTGGTTGAGAGCTGAGGGCTGCATCCACAGGGTTGAGTGGTGGTTGGAATCAATGTGGCTGTGTATTGGAGAACTAAGCACATATGAGTTGGACCATCAGTGAGGTGCTTTGTTGGGGGAGATGCCCCCTTTCCTTCTTTGAGGACAGACATACTTGTCCTCTCCTTCCTCCGCACCCCTCCCAGTCCCCCTGGCCAATGAGGTATGCAAATGATCCCCTGAGCTCATTGGCTGAGGCCTGAGGAACACAGATGAGCTCAGAGAGCTGGCCCTTTATGAGTGCCCTTTGGGATCTGTGCCCACAGGCCCCTGGTTATGAGCATAGAGGCACCAGGCCCTGCCTGCTTCATGGGGCCTCCAGAGTCTGGGGAAGCTGTGCCTGTCTGCCTCTGACACTGACCACATCATCTCTGCTGTCCCTAAAGTGAGTATGTTTGGATTCTCACCTATATAGCTTCCTCCTCCAACAGCTGCTGTCTGCCCTCTGCTGTCTGTTTTGTAGCATCCTCACACTTCTGCACTCTGCCCCACTCCCATTCTGGCTGTTGTCACATCAGAAAGATAAACAACCCTCCCCATTAACCTCTGCTCTGCACATCCAGTTCTCCCTGGATACCTCTGTCAGTGTCTCATCACCTCCTTCCTGCTGAGGAACAGTCCTTCAATTGTTTTTGTTTCCAATCCCTCTGTCCTCTCAAGGGTGAGGAGTTCCACGGGGGGGCGGGGAGCAAGACTTCCTTGAGATGGGAAGAGAGAGGACTTGTCCTTCCTCCTGCCTTCTGGGACAGCCTGGCGGGGGAGGGACTGAGATGTGGGTGAAAAGAGGACTACCTAGGCTAGGGGCATCAAGAGGGAACCAAAGGCTCTGGGGGTGAGCACGCCTTGCTTTGCCTCTTCTAGGGGGTGGAGGTGTTGGAATTGGGAGCTGGGTTGGTTAGAGCTGGAACTTCCAGGCTGGAAAAAAATCTCTGAGGTCTTCTGGCCAGACGTTCCTCAGGAGAACATGTGTTCCACAGTTGGTAACAGAGAGGAGAGAGTGATCCTCGGCATCTTAAGTTTGGGACAATCCATGTTGAATTGAACCGAAGGTTGGCTGAAGGACTTCTTAAGACTAGTGTGTTCTTGCGCTTTTCAAATACGCAAGAGGTAGAGAGAAGAGGCAGCCTTTCTTAAAATCATCTGAGCATAGCCCTCTTGGTTATTTTTTGGAAGCAGTGTTCTGCAGAACACTCTGGGAGATGTTACAAAGTCTAACTCCTTCACTGAACAGAAGGAGAGGTGGTCAGAAAGATGAAGGTGGACTGCTCAAGTTCACACAATATAGCATGTTCTAAATGAAGGAGGACAATTAATCTTGAATTCTCCTTGGAGAAATTGGTCTTGAGGACAGATGGTAGCTGCTAGTCCTGATCTTTCTAGAACTGGCTCTAGGACCTTTCTTTTTCCCTAGGAAATCTCTTGCTCCTATAAAAGTGATTCATTGATTAAACCAAAGAACGCATGTGCACTGAGGGTCTTTTATGTTCGAGGCACTGTCCTGAGTGCTTTGAGAGACAGATACAATAGCATAGTGCCGTATCTTAAAATCCATAACATACATGCCTTCCCACCATCCTAAAATATACACACATTCAGTCACAGTTAATTAAGCATAATTTTTTAATTGCTTGGAAATGGAATGGTGCTTCTTGAGATGACGGAGCCTCTCAGCATGTCCCAGCACCGGGGGTTGGGAGCACTGCCACATTGGTCTTGTTTTTGATAGATCCCAGAGGCACCAACGGGGCAAGAGGCTGTGCTGCCCTCTTCCTCCTTTAAACCTTCAGCTTCTTGTCTTCTGTCATGAGGAGCCATTGCCACCTGCAAGGCTGCCTGGGCAGGAGGTGACTATGTGGGAACCAGGGCTGCACAACCACTCTAGCTTTCCAGAACTCTGACTCCAGGGCACCTGGCCTTTGGGAAAGGAGGTGTTTGGTGAAGGGACGACAGGCAGCCTCTGGTGCTCCAGGCCTCTCCTCTTTCTTGCAGGTACGCGTTCCCTAGACCAGCCCCAGAATGGCACTGGCGCCCAGCCCTCTGGCCATGGAATATGTTAATGACTTTGACTTGATGAAGTTTGAGGTAAAGCGGGAGCCTTCTGAGGGGCGATCTGGCCCCCCTACAGCCTCACTGGGCTCCACACCTTACAGCTCAGTGCCTCCTTCACCCACCTTCAGTGAGCCGGGCATAGTGGGGTCTGCCGAGGGCTCACGGGCAGGCGTGGAGGAGCTGTACTGGCTGGCCACGCTGCACCAGCAGCTAGGGGCTGGGGAGTCGCTGGGGCTGAGTCCTGCTGAGGCTGTGGAGCTGCTGCAAGGTCAGGGTTCAGTCCCCGTTGAGGGACCCCTCGGCTATTACCCAGGGAACTCAGAGGAGACAGAAGCCCAGCATGTCCAGGTGAGTGACCAGCAGCTGGTCTGAGGGGAAGCAGGTTGGAAAGGCAGAGAAAGGAGTTTCTGGAGAGGATTGTGGGCTGGTTAAAGAGGACAGGAGTAGAGAAGGGCCTTTGAAAGAAACCAGAGATAACGATTTTTTTTTCGCTCCAAAACGCAGATGAGTAGACTGAATCATAAAGATGAGGAAGAAAATAAGATTAGAAGAGGATCCACAGGGAAAAGGTTGAGAGTTATAGAGCGATTACGGGGAAGTAAATAGGTACAGAGCACGTGAAATGGACAGAGGTTGAGGCTGAGGTGGAGGCTGGCCTTCTCCAAGCGCTCAACCTTCTCAGGAAGGATTGGGACTCATCCTATTAATTATAGACACAGACGGGGGCGTTGAGGGCTTTAGGACGTAATCCAAATCCTTAGAGGGTCACACGGTTTCGGCCACTGGGACGAGAAACGTGGCGCGCTGGGGGCGGGGTCTGTCTGGGCGCTGGTTCCGGGACCTGGAGTCGGATGCTGGCGGGGGGCCGCGGCGGGGGCGCAGCGTGCAGGTGTGCGATTGGGTCGCCCGCCAGCGGGAGGCGGGCTTGCGCTGATGGGCGTGCCTAAGGGGCCGGGAGCAGAGTGGCAAGGTCTGGGGTGGGGCTGGAAGGGGGACAGATTGAGTTAGAACAATGAACTTCAGATAAAGTGGGAGCGAGGGGCAGAGCCTTCCCGAGGGCTGGCCTAGCCCGGCATCAGGACCTCGGCGTTCGCCGCTGACCCAGTGCCTGTACTCCTCCTCCGCAGCTGGCCGAGAGGTTTTCAGACGCGGCGCTGGTATCGATGTCTGTGAGGGAGCTCAACCGGCAGCTGAGGGGCTGCGGGCGAGACGAGGCCCTGCGGCTGAAGCAGAGGCGCCGCACACTGAAGAACCGCGGTTACGCGCAGGCCTGTCGCTCCAAGCGGCTGCAGCAGCGACGTGGGCTGGAGGCCGAGCGCGCCCGCCTGGCTGCCCAGTTGGATGCGCTTCGGGCCGAGGTGGCTCGCCTGGCACGCGAGCGCGACCTCTACAAGGCTCGCTGTGACCGCCTGACCTCGAGCGGCCCGGGGTCCGGGGACCACACCCACCTCTTCCTCTGAGCCTCTGGGGCAGGGATGTGGGGTGTGGAGGTGGTTGAGGAGTAGGGGGCGCTACTCAGGAGTCGGCTGCACTACTCACTCCATCGTTACCGAGCGCCATCGGGTCCCTTCCACTGCCCTGTATGGCCACACAGATATCCCCAAACTTCCTGGACTCTCAAGATGCTGGAAGAGGGGTCCCCTCCCCTCTTGCCAGCCTTGTACAGAAACCCAGCCCCGGAGCTCTGCAGGGGCCAGGGCTCTGCAGGCACGGAGGGTGGAGATGTGGAGGACAGCTGCGTGGCACAGTGAATGGGAGGGGAGGGAGTGGTGCAGCTCCTCCCTCAGTTTAGTTCTTAATTAAAGGTTTTCAATTTGTAGTGGATTAAGGCTGTAATTAGCAATGAGGCTGTGTTTTCACTCCAAGGTTTGTAATCTCCTTAGCAAGATAAACTAAGAACTCTACCCAAGCTTCATTTTCCTACCCAATGCACTGGTCTTCAGGGCCAGGAGCAGCACAGGCCTGAGGAGTGATCCCCGGGTGTGGGTTGGTGTCAGCTAGGAAGGAGCCCTGGACACTAGTCCCGTATCTGCGACAAGATCCCAATGTCACCTTGAGGAAATCAATTGCTCTCTGGACCTCAGTTACTTCATCTAATCCTCATTTGGGTTGGATGACTTCTCTGACAACTTTTCAGTTCTGGGAGCTCCCCAGTGAGTGAGTTCCAATGATCTCCCCAAGAAGCTCCCAAGACAAACCTCATCAAAGGGACATCCTGTCCTGCTCCAGTTTCTTGGTCACAGCCTTTGCAGTGGACGAGCAGAGACGGGGAAGCATGGTTTCCCTGGAACCACACACAATGGGTCTCTGCCACTCCTTCCAGGCTGCCTCAGGCTCCAGACCTGCAGAGGGTACCCTGTACCTCCTACCTCTCTGAGGGCTTAGGTGAGACTTCTCAGTATGATAGGAGCTGAGAGTGCAGCTTTTGTGGATTAAATTTGAAGTCCAGGAAGAACTCTAATGCTATTGGCTAGATGTGATTGAAATTTAAAAAGGGTTCATTTTCTATCCTTGCTTCAGGCTGCTGTTTTGTGTGTCTGGGTGTAGGGGAGGGGGTATCCACTTGGAGCTGAGCGGTGCAGTTTCAGTTCTGGATTGCCAATGAAAATGAGGTGGAGGGTCGTGGGGATTGGTCCAGATGGAGCCTCTCCCTCCCACCGCCAGGACTACAAAACTGAAGAGCAGCAGCAAGACCTGCCTGTGGCTATCCACAAGGTCTCACAGTTGCCATGGTAACTCAGTCCTGTAGTTCAGCACCAGAAGGGAAGAGCAGGTGGGGCCTCTGGGCAGAGCAGAGGCGTACCTCACAGCCACTGTTGTCCGTCCTCTAAGGGACATAATAAATGGGAGAAGTGGTGGGGTGTGGGGGAAGCGGCTCACATATGTCTCTCTTCCTTTCTGCCCCTTCTGTCCGCCCCCTCCCCAGCTGTCTCTTCTTTTCCCATCGCAGTTCTTGTTCACTCCTCCCCCTCCTCTAGTTCAGCTCCTCCCTCCTCCACTCAGGAGCCTGCAACAGGAGTCCTCTCAAAGGGAGGGGTTGGGGCAGAGAGTGTCCCTGCAGGAGTTCAGCTCTTCTTCTTTTCCTCTGTATTTCACTTGTACCTTTGCCCACTCTCTGGAGCTGCAGTCCAGACCTAGCACTTGTCTTGTAAACCTTTCTTAGCTGCATGGCACAAAGGCAGAGACACCTATCCACAGACACCTGCCTACACAACTAGGCCACATATATACACACCTGGGCCTCAAAATAATATACCTAAGTCACATGGATAGACTTCAAACAAAGGTTGCACACTGTAGCGATGAAGAGTGTGAGTGCTTTGGTCAGATGGGCTCGGGCTGAAGTTCTAAGAGTTCTCTGACCATGGGAGAGTTAAAAGTCAAGATTTGCTTTGTCAGAAAAATAGGGAAAATAAATGCTAATTATCTGGTGAGGATGCATGAATTTAAAGAAGCAAAGTTTGACACATATGCTAAAGAATAATCCTTGTGGCTGCCAGCATTCATAGCTCAGAGTGCACAGCTAGATTTCTTGAACCATTGAGGTCGTACTCACAGAGGGTCAGGGATGTGTGGTGCATGAACGTGTACACGTTGACACTTCAGGAAAATAAGGGTGAGCAGACCTAAATGTTCCTCTATGTTCCTAACGGATTAGCAGACCTGCTGCTGCTCTCCTTCAGTCCCCTCCCCAACACCTCTTCTTGGCCCGCCCCACAGCTGTGTGGGGGCAGGGTTCAACCCCTGGGGAACTCAGTGCAGCTTCTCTGGAGACAGTTCTGAGAGGGCATCACCCTGCCCCCTTGACAACCCTTGATTACTCCCCTGTCTCCTGTTATTAACCCCCGTGGAGTCTGGATCCCCCTAGGCTTGGGAGGTAAGAGTGGGGGATCCTTAGACCCCTCTGGCACATAGTTGGAATAAGATTACAGAGGCAGAAGCCACCCTGGAGATCTGGCTCAGATTTTGAAAGGCACAGGCTCTCATTTCCTATGGTGTGCATGGGTGCTGCAGACTGGCCTGTGGGCACCCAAAGCATGATGGGTAGAGGCTGAAGTGCTAGGAGTGGTTCCCTTTATTAATGATCAGAAAGTCAGATCACTGAAGGAAGTCACTGAAGGGCTACACAGTTGTGGGGTATGGGGCTTGGACAGATGGGGGCAAGGCCCACATCTCACTTCCAGGACCCAGGGGGCACAGTTGGACCAAGAGGCAGAGGCACTGGTCACTTGAGTCACAAAGGTCAGGACAGGCACCTGGAAGAGTCATGAACACCCTTGTCTATACTACACACTGCCAGGTTAGGCACCTCAGAAGTCCCACTTTGCATCCCTTCGTATCCACCCCTCTGAGCCCCCAAGACTCACTGGGAGGCTAAGGGAGTGTCCTCGGTCCAGTGCAAGGCAGTCACGGGCTAGGGCTCGGAGTTGTGGCTGGCGTGCAGGGCCTGGGAGCCCCTGGGCTGATGCCCTGGCTGGCATAATACTCCACCACCTGCCGGGGAACCTCAGCCAGGACGCACTTAGCTAGTGCCGACGGGGCAGCCTGCAGGTGGGGGAAGAGATAAGATTAGGGGCGGGCAGAAAGGACGGGAGAGGTGGAGGGGTGGGGCTTCGCATGAGGAGCCGAGAAGTCCTTCTGGGGAGGGCACCGAACACTCACATCCTTAAAGTCCCGGAAGGGCACGAACTGGACGATGTCGCGGGCCGCAGTCACCCCTTGGGGGCAGCGCAAGGGACCATCGTCGCCGTCCAGCAGTCGCATGTCAGAGAAGTCAGCATTGCCCACACCCACGATGATGATGGACATGGGTAGGCGGGAGGCACGCACGATCGCGGTGCGGGTCTCGGCCATGTCGCTCACCACGCCATCGGTGAGCACCAGCAGCACCGAGTACTTCTGAGGGCAGGCAGAAGGACAAAGGATTGCCTCCGAGTGCCAGGGTGTTGCTCTCGTCCTGAGCCCAGGCCCTGGCCCTGGTACCACCCCAGGACACACAGGGCAATGCCTGGGTGTATGTTTTGTGTCCTTACCGTGGCTTGTCCAGTGCTCTGCTCCCGCTGTGCCGGCCCAGCCACACGGTTGATAATGGGGGCCACGTTGGTGGGGCCATAGAGCTGGATCTGGGGCAAGCACCGGCGGTAGGAGGTGATGACCCCCGTGATTTCTGTGGGCAGAGAAGAGAGAAGGAGCTGTCAGAGATCAGTAGGGACTCTTTCCTGACACTCCTTAAGGCAAGGAGGTGCTTCTGGCCTTGGGACTACTGGATACCCCTGCCTCCTGTTCTTCAGGGAGCCAGAGGATTGGGTGTCCCAGGGGCTGTGAGAATTGGGTGAGCAGGTCATGGAGCTGGAAGTCTGACCAGATGGATAGGTGGGAGGGACCGGGAGCTGGGGCCCTAGGTACGGAGTCTGTGCTCGTGGATGGAATGTCCCAGTGTGGGCAACCAGCAGCGGAGGCAGGCCAGTGGGGCTCTCCCAGCTTACCCTCACATTCAGGGTTTTCCGGGTCAAAGTTGATAGCAAAGTCGTGTGACACCTGTGAGGGAAGTTGAGAGCAGTGAAGGGGTGGTTGTCCTTCCCATCTGACCTCCACCATCTCCTCTTTCTTCTTGCACCCAGCCTACCTCGAAGTTGGGGGGGATCCGAGCCCCAAAGCCAAAAGCGGGGAACCTCTTATCACTGGAAAGGAGAACAGGCTGGGGGCTCATCGGGCAAGGCCTCCCTTCTCCACCCTCCCCACCCCTTCCTACCTGTCATAGTCCTGGCAGATGCCTCCCACTGCCCGAAGGGCCTGCAGGTAGTGGTTTGGCTGCCGGGGGCTGAGGCAGTGTAGGGACTGGCTGCTCCTCGGGTCCCCATTGGAGGCGGTGAAGTCGATGGCCACCTGGTGGGGATGAGGGTGAGGGTGAGGAAAGGGTCACACTGCTGCCGTGAGAGCGAACAGAGGCTGGCCCAGAGCTGGAGCCTTGGAGGGAGGACTGAGATGCACCTGGGGAAGATCACAGTTAGCCTCATCATGGCGGTGAGCTGGGCTTGGGATCTAGCTGACAATGCCCCAAGCAGGGGCAGTAAGACTCTGGGCCTCTTTAGTTCAATATGGATTTAGGCCCTCTCTCTTTTGCCCGCATCCCCTGGGCCTTTACCGTGAAGCTGATCTGGCAGCCACCCATGATGTAATCCAGGAAGGTGTGCACCTTCTCCACCTGTGGGGAGGGAAGAGGTCAGGAGGGATGGATGGGGTGGTCCTCTCGGGAGGAAGCTTGGATGGGGCCTCTGTGGGGAAAGCGGAGTGGCTGGTGTTTTTGAGGTTGCAGTTGGGGTGGGACACAGCAAGGGTTCCCGTTTCCCAGAACAGAGAAACTGGTCTTTGAAACAGGTGAAGGGTTGAATCTGAGAGTGTGGTAGGGAGGGGAGGGGCGGGATTTGAGGCAAGAACTGGGGTTTACCGTGCACTGGGCCAGCACTACTGTCCCTGAGCTCTTGTAATGCTTCTTCTTGTCCCGATACTTGGGGTTGATACAGTCCCATTGCATCTAGACCCCCACACCCGACAAATGCAAGGTCATGGTCCATCCTGTGGCCTTTCTTGTCCCCCCCCAGCCCTTTTTTTTGGTACCGGGGATCCATCTCAGGACCTTGCCCTTTTGAGGCAGGTGGTGGCACCATTGAGCTCAATCCCAGGCCCTCTTGTCCCCTTTTAACAGAGCTTTCTGGAGGGCCCCTCCCCGCCATCTTTTGACTGAGCCTGGGCATGTTCCACCCTCTCCACCTGTCCTGTTGCCTACAGTGGTCTTTTCAACGTCACCCTCTGGGTTTTCCCAG